AAAAGTTCTATGTACTCTCAATTCGTCTCTTGTATATTTTATTAGGTAGGGCTCTTTCCTGATACTGCTTCCCTTCCTTAATCCTGTTTCCCACTAAATCCATGATGAAGAATGGGACTTAAGGGAGAAGGGAAAGCCGTCTCAATTAACTTTTTTTTTAATTTTTAAAATTTATATTTATTTTTGGCTGTGTTGGGTCTTCCTTGCTGCACGCGGGCTTTCTCTAGTTGCAGCAAGCCGGGGCTACTCTTCCTTGCGGTGTGTGGGCTTCTCATTTCTCATTGCAGTGGCTTCTCTTGTTGAGCAACATAGGCTCTAGGCACGTGGGCTTCAGTAGTTGTGGCTCACAGGGTCTAGAGCTCAGGCTCAGTAGTTGTGGCGCATAGGATTAGTTGCTCTGTAACATGTGGGATCTTCCTGGACCAGGGCTCAAACCCGTGTCCCCTGCATTGGCAGGGGGATTCTTAACCACTGCGCCACCAGGAAAGCCCCTCAATTAACTATTGTGTTTTTTTTTAAATAAATTTATTTATTTTTGGCTGCGTTGGGTCTTTGTTGCTGCGCGCGGGCTTTCTCTAGTTGTGCCGAGCGGGGGCACTCGTTGTGATGTGCGGGCTTCTCATTGCAGTGGCTTCTCCTGTTGTGGAGCACGGACTCTAGGCACGTGGGCTCTAGAGTGCAGGCTCAGTAGTTGGGGCGCACTGGCTTAGTTGCTCTGTGGCATGTGGGATCGTCCCGGGACCAGGGCTCGAACCTATGTCCCCTGCATTGGCAGGCAGATTCTTAATGACTGTGCCACCAGGGAAGTCCCCTCAATTATTGTTAAGAGAAGAAATGTTGGCGAATTGTGGGTTCTGAATTCTTTTCTCTTCCTCTGTCAGTTAAATGTTGACACTCCCTTTCCTACTCTCCCCTTCTCTTTTCAGTTCCCTGGCTAATCCAGTCTTTTTCTTCAGCTATTGACTTGAGCCTTTATATCCCACTGGCCTCACAAATCCTCGAACTCAGTGTATGAAACTGAACACACAATTTTCCGTCCTTCTATATCTCTGCCTGAATGGATGGAACCACCCACATCGTTGACGAGATGCAGAACATGCCACCCCAAAATATGCCACTTTGGCATAAGGATTGTTTTGAGCTGAAGGCAATTAGGAAGCTGCAGATTCAGGAGGAACTCTCTGCCCTCCCTCATTCTGCCTAAAAGCAGGGCATAAATTTCCCTTTCAGAGCTGCCTCTACTCCCCTCTCCCACACCAGAACAGCATATCACAGGAGATAGAAAGTGGCAATGACTTGTATCTGCCTAAACAAATCTTAAAATAACCCTTATCTCCTATTCCTTTTGCCCATATATTTACCTTCCCACAATTGACAACCCCAAGAAGCCCAAACCCCTCCTCCTTTGTTTTGCCACTTCTCTCAAATTAGGCTTGACTGCTTCTTTGGGTTTTCCCTTTTTTCCTGTGAAGCAGTGATGTGCACAGGAAATAAGCCTTTTCTCCTGTTAATGTCTTTTGCCAACTTAATTCTCAGGCCCCAGTCACTGAATCTAAGTAGGTAGAGGAAAAGATTTTCCTCTCTTACAGTCTACAGCCCACAGTCTAGAATCCTGACAGTTTCCCAGACTCTTCCCTGACTCTCTTGTTTTACATCCAATCAGTCATTGACAGGTGTGAGCTTTATCTGAGCCCTGTGCTCCTGGAAAATAGGCTGGTTAGGAAATCCCACCATGCTCTTGTTTTCCAAACCCCCATACCTTTTGTGTCAGGGAAAACAGCTAACTGTAAAGGATCGCACTGCTCTTGTACATTCCATGAAAAGACTCATGTCCGCCCTTGCTCATGACTCCAGTAAGATCCAGTCATGACTCCTTAAGTTTTCCGACCTCTGTAATACCTCAGATCCCTTTTCCTTTCCATGAGATGCTCTTCATTAATGAACATGTTCTCTATTGCAACAGCCTGAATAAAGCCATCTGCTTAATTGTCTGGTGCATTTTGTCTTTGATATCACTGTGTCTTCCTGAGGCTATCTCCTCAGTGAGTAATTCTGAACATGCACCCTCCTCCTTGCCCCCACTGCCGGTCCACCAGCTCTTACTTAGACTGTTGCAGTGCCTCCTGCACTTTTCGAGGATTTCAGCTTTACTCTTCTCTACTCCATTATTCACTCTGTTGTTAGAATGATCTTTCTTCTTTTTTTTTTTTTTAATATATTTATTTATTTATTTATCTGGCTGCGCAGGGTCTTAGTTGTGGCACACGGGATCGTTTAATTGCAGCATGCGGAATCTAGTTCCATGACCAGGGATCGAGCCTGGGCCCCCCGCATTGGGAGTGCAGAGTCTTAACCACGGGACCACCAGGGAAGTCCCTAGAATAATCTTTCTAAAGAGCGATTCGTGACCTAACTTCTCTCTACTTACGCACAGACACACACACACACACACACACACACACACACACACACACACCCCATCCAGGAGTACATTGAACTACTCTGGGGAAATACCAGCCTTCTTCCACCGCTTGCCTTTTGCACGTAGCTGGCTCTGCCCAAACTTGCTCCCTTGTTTTCTGGTTGCCGCTCATCCAGCTCAGGGACCAACATGGAGAAGCCTTTCCTGATCACCCCGTCGCCTCAGTCTGGGAAGGTGCCTCTCCTATGTACTCCCATAGCTTTATGTACTTTTTTCGATTATTATTTTTTTGTCTCACTATATCATGACTGTTGATTTGTTTTTTCTCACTCCAATAGTCTGTGAGCTCCTTGAAGATAGAAACCTTACTCTTTTTTTTAATAAATTTATTTATTTTATTTATTTATTTTTGTCTGCATTGGGTCTTTGTTGCTGTGCGCGGGCTTTCTCTAGTTGTGGCGAGCGGGGGCTACCCTTCGTTGTGGTGCGCAGGCTTCTCATTGCGGTGGCTTCTCTTGTTGCGGAGCACAGGCTTTAGGTGCTTTAATGCTAAACACTACTTAAACCTTAAAATCACCTTGCTTCTCAAATATGCACAAACGTTTATATTTCAGTAAGTTGAAGAATGTAAATTTTCTCATGAACATTCCTTTCTTCAGTGTAGTTGATAATATTAAATCATAAGATATTCCTTCAACCCCAGAGACACAAGAATAGTTTTTGTAATCATCTGATATGTTTTTGGGGCCAGATATAACTTCTTAAATCTTGAGGACCACCACCTCCTTCCGTTGCAAAACAATGGGAAGTTTTGGCAGGAGCTACTGGCCCAAAAGAACAGGGGGGTGGGGCTTTCACTGTGTGGGAGGAGCATTCATGACTGCTCTCTTTTCTCTAGAGTTCTCTGTTCTCTTCCCATCATACTGAAGGGTAAGGCAGGCTTAGGGATGACCTCCTTTGGGTATGTTCCCCATCTTCTCTCACTTTGGGAACTCCTAAGAGGAGCAGGGCAAAGTCTAGGGTGGAGGAGGTAAGGAACAAATAGTTTATGCAAGCGTGGCCTTGGGTTTAGGGAAATATCTACATCATGGACTTACTTTTCCCTGATTCTTTTGGTCAGAGTTTCTGATCAGTGTGTGGACATCCAAGGTAAAAGGGTGTAATTACCTAGAGAATCGTCTCTGTTTAAATATCACTATTCGCTCCCCAACCCCCCTCCCATTGGCTCCAAACTTGTTTCCAAAACAAAAACATTGCCCCAAGGAAGAGTTTACACCATGATAGGTATCCCAAGTGGGAAAAGCCTGGGGGGAATCAGGCCGGAGGAAAGCAGAGATGATAGGGAATTGTGGCCAGCCACTTTTCTTGTTATCAATCACTGCTTGCCCCTCAGTGACAGACTGGCTGAACACAGTCCCTTAATTAGGATTCTCTTTGGACCTCTCTCTGAATACTTGACTCTATTCTTTGCGAAGTCTGGGTCGAAAGGTTTAAGGAAGAAGCCAAATCGTGAGTTTTTGTTAAAGAATAACGATATGTTTAAACAGAACCTTTGGTAACCAGAGAAATATGCACAGAGTTGAGCACACAGATTTTCTTTTCAAAGAAAAGAAAAATATCTTTTTAGTCTTTTCCCAAAGACCTAAATTACATCTTCCCTTAGACTTAGCCTCCAGGAAGACATTTTTATCTTCCCTGGAGCACCCTCTACCACCATCTCCTCTCTGGAGAGTCTCCTAAATGCCTCAACAGAATGGTTAAACCAATGACCCTACCCCAAGGAGCTTTCCCATATAATTCCTCCTTTGTGTGATGATTCCTAGCCCATCCTCCCCAGCCCTTTATTCCGGCACCTGTGCATCTGCGAAGTCGTAGAAAGTAGCTGAGGTTCAGGCCTACCCATCTGTCACCCACTCACTAGTCAATCGGAGGGTTAAAGAGAAAAACCACAGGCCCAAAACGGTGTCACTTGTGCTAAAGCCCCTGATACCAAACCTAGATTTAATACCTGACCTAACTGCCATTTCCACCTTCCCCAGGAATGTAATCTTTTTTTTTTTTTTTTTGCGGTACGCGGGCCTCTCACTGTTGTGGCCTCTCCCATTGCAGAGCACAGGCTCCGGATGCGCAGGCTCAGTGGCCATGGCTCACGGGCCCAGCCGCTCCGCGGCATGTGGGATCTTCCCAGACCGGGGCACGAACCCGTGTCCCCTGCATCAGCAGGCGGACTCTCAACCACTGCGCCACCAGGGAAGCCCCCCAGGAATGTAATCTTAATCAACTAGTCTGGAGTTTTCCAGTCGGCACCAACAAGGTCATCTGCCACGTGGGCCTTCTCCATCCCCCAGAGGAAGAAGAGGCAATCTATGCCGTCAAACCCTTGCCATTCCCTCCCCTTCAGTCCCCCCAAAAAGATGTCGTGGCCTAAAAAAAACTTTCTTTTCTTTTGCTAATAGCTACTTTGCCCTACCCTTCTTTATATAAAAACCTTCAATTTTGTACAACCCCTTGGAGCACCCTTCTGGTTGCCAGATGAAATGCTGCTCAATTCATAAATCACCTAATAGAGTACATTCAATCTTCAATTTTATTTGGTTGCTTTTTTTTAAAAAATTTTTTGGCCATACCACGTAGCATGTGGGATCTTAGTTCCCTGACCAGGGATTGAACACACACACCCTGCAGTGGTAGCACAGAGTCTTACCCACTGGACTGCCAGGGAAGTCCTGCATTTTGTTTTTTAACAAGAGAAACCAAATTGTTTGATTGAACGGGTTCTGCTTTAAGAGACGGAAGAATGCTATCCAGTAATGAAGTGGAGAATTCATTTAGTCTCTTTCCATCTTCTACCCTGGAGGGAAAAAAACAAAGACAGAAGACATCATGATACACAGAAAGTCTTCACAATTATAGAGGAGATTTTTCCTGACTAGAAAAAAAAAAAAATCTCACAAAACACACGATGGGATTATTAGAGTGTTATCTCAGGGAAGTAGAATCAGGTAATCTTTACTTTTGTCTTAGTATTTTTATATAAAAACATATATAAGGTAATAATTAGGAAAATTTTCAGCCAAAAAAAGAAAATACTGTTTTTAAAAATCACATAGAACCCCTCACACAAATGCCACTATTAACTTTTTCTGATGTGAACTATGGAGATGATTATTCTCTCTTCAAGAGTTTAGGACATATTGTACAACAACTATACCTCAGTTTTTTTTAATAAAAGAGTTCAGGACAAAAATGCAAAGTCCACTTTATCAAAAATACGCTTCCAAAAGATAATACCCTTAACTCAGAAGAATGTCTCCTTAACTTCTGAATAGTGCCACCCTACCCCAAAAGCCCAGCCTTCTTTCTTCTGGGCTTACCTCATTCACAGGGATTAGAATATTGAATTGTTGCCTGTTCATCTGTAAAATTAAATGACATATATTATTATATTGCAGGCCTAATACATTCAGAGAGAAAATACTACCTAAAAGTTACTGCTTTAACCCTCTTCAAAAGATTTCTACAGGTTATGAGCACATTCAGAATTACAGCAAGTTTCCAATGACTAATATTTGCACACTTGTAGTAAGTTAGTCACTGTAGCAAAAATATTAAGAATAGTTAGTCTTTAGAGAACATCGTTCTTTCAGTCTATGGACCACGTTGTATAAAATATGTCTAGTGCAGAAGACTTTTTTAAGTGGCACATAATTGAATTAAAATGCTTTAGGAGATCAGATAATGTAATTATGTGCACTTGGCTTGGAAAGGAGTAGCTGTAAAATTAAGAAAGATATCATGAAGAATGAAGTAGAAGTATGTTGCAAGATGCAGATAAATCTTGGCCATCACCTGGTAGGTAGTAGTCATAGACTTTGATGGTTGCTGGTTTGAGGTTGGTGACCAACAGGCTTTGGCTGATGGTGAAGGTATAGGTCTGAGTCTCCTTACTAAGCTGTGGGGAAGACAGACAAACATCACATTAAAACAAAAGTGAAAATAACATCTCTGTCAGGTGGAGGTTAAAAGACTCTTGCTGTCTTCACACAGATTTTCTGAAGCCCTTCTACCTCTGCTCTATGCCACTCCTAATATTGCCTCCTGCTGGTTTCCTGGCTTTTTCTTCTTAGCATCTTACCGCTTCCTGGTCCTTCTGCAAAATGGGTCTGTTCTTGGTCTACTCTAACCCGTGGCTCCTCCACTGAATTAAGTGAAGTGGCCAAAGGAACGGAGGCTTCCACTTCACTCCAACACCTGTATGCTCCCGATCGCCTTTCTCTCTTCATTCAGGTCTCTGATCAAATGACGTCTCCTCAGAGAGGCCTTTCCTGACCACCTTACTTTATCTATTTATGTTTTTAAGATTGTTTTTGACGTGGACCAGTTTTAAAGTCTTTATTGAATTTGTTACAACATTGTTTCTGGGTTTATTTCTGTTTTGGTTTTTTGGCCGCCGCATGTTGGATCTTAGCTCCCCCGACCAGGGATGGCACCCGCACCCCCTGCATTGGAAGGTGGAGTCTTAACCACTGGGCCACCAGGGAAGTCCCCTGATTGTTACTTTAAAACAAACACATCCTGGCCCACCCCCACCACACTCCTGCGTAGTACTGATTACTACTAAAATTATTCCTGAATATGTGTGTGTGTGTGTGCACATATATATGTACTCTTAAAATTTGCATATTGCTTGTCTCTCCATTAGAATATCAAATCCATGAGGGCAGGGGTCATGTCTACTGTTTTTAGTGCTGCATCTCTATCACGTCGAAGAGTATCTGGCATATATTGGTGGCTCAATAAACATTTGTTGAATAAGTGAATAAATGGAGAGTTCAAAACAATTGCATAAATTAATCTAATATAAAAAGAAAATAAGATTTATGCTGTAAATTTATGTATTTATTTACTTTGATTTTATTTTTGCTGCACAGCGTGGCTTGCAGGATCTTAGTTTCCCAACCAGGGATCAAACCTGTGACCCCTGCAGTGGAGCAGTGTAGTCCTAACCACTGGACTGCCAGGGAAGTCCCTATGTTGTAAATTTAGATAGGAAGTTAGAAACACCTAATTGGAAGATATTTCCAAAGAGATTTCTTTAGGTATAGTGCTTCTAAAAGCATGGTCCAGGAACTCTCAGGGATCCTTAAGACTCTATCTGGCAGCCTGTGAGATCAGAATTCTTTTTGGAATAATACTAAGACATTATTTGCCTTTTTCACTCTCATTCTCTTTCACTGTACTAGTGTAAGGGGGCTACCTGATGTGTGATACTGCAACAGATTGAATGCAGAAGCAGATGGGAGAATTTTACTCTCTTTGATTAAGCTAAATATTAAAGCAAAAACATAAAACAATCTGCTATTCTCATTTTGTTTGTTTTGGGAAATACATTTTTCACAAAATGTTATATTAAAATGTAGTGAGTTTATTTTTGTTGTTTTTAAATGACAATAAATATTTTAATATTTTTTTCAGTTTTAATTTCTAATAAGTTAAATGTCAATAGATGTAACCCACATCACCACAAGCTCTTTGAGGTCATTTAAGAGTAGAGAGGGGTCCTGGAATAAAATCTTTGGAACCACTGTTCTCGCTGGTCATTTAGTTACCATAAAGATTTAAAGTAAATGACTAATATAAACCAAAAGAAAGCTGGGATAGCAGCCTTAATATCTGACCCGATAGAATCTAAGGCAAAAAAAAAAAAAAAGTGCCTGTGTATGTAGAAATCTAAATATATATATATATATATATACATATATATATATATATATACACACACACACACACACATATATAATTAGTGCAAAAGAAGCAGTGTATACTAATAAAAGGAAAACTGAAAAAGATATGTTCATAACATATACATACCTAATTATATAGTTGAAAAATATATCAAGAAACAACTGACAGAATTGCATAGATAAATGGGTAAAGGACAAATCAATAACTGTAATTAGAAATTTTAACAAGCCCTTTTCCAAAACTGATAGATTGAGCAGAAAAATAAGCAGAGATAACAAAGACATGAACAACAGAAATAATCGTCTTGGACTTTTAGATCTAGATCAAATCCATACCCAAGAGAAAGGGAATGGACATTCTTTTGGAGCACACAATGAACATTTCCAAAAAAGACCATATATTAGATCACAAAAGAAACTTCTATGCATTTCAGAGGCTCACTATCATGATCTCAGACCATAATGCAATAAAATTAGAAATTAGTAACAAAAAGATGGCTTTAAATATCCCATGAATTTCCCCAAAAATTAAGATATAGAACTAAATGGTAATAAAAACAACGCTTGTCAAAAATTGTGGGACAAAGACAGAGTATACTTAGAGGGAAATTTATAGTTCATATTCATCAGAAAATAAGAAAGACTAAAAATAAACAAATCGGCATTCAACTTAAGAAGTTAGACAAAGAATAACAAAAAATGTCCTTTCCCCTTCCCTTCAGCCCAAAATAAAGAAAAGAAATAATGAAGAAATTAATGAAACAGACCCCCCCCAAACCAAGCAAGCAAATAACAAAAAACAACAGAGAAGAGGAATAAAACCAAGAATAACTTGTTAAATGTGAATCAGATTGTCCTCTGGTGATGCTGATCAAGAGAAAAGGGGAGAAGATACATAGAAAAAGGAAATAGTCACAGATATAATCATGACGATTGGCTTTTAGACCATTAGACTTGATGGCTCAGATTAGAAGCTGACAAAGCTGGCTGGACACACTGACCGGCCTGCCATTGCAGTCTCAGGAATGGTGTCATGGAAATTAGAATCCCCAGATGCTACTCCCAGCTTGGACCCTGACAAACAGGATGACTTGACAAGCACACTCACTCTATCAATTCAGCCTCAGCCTCCTTACATAGAAGGAGGGGTGCCGTGTGAGACTCAAAGAAGGTGTATAGGAAAGCATCATAAACTTTGCAAAATGTTTAAACAACTACAATATCATGATATCAGGGTTTTTCCTGATAACACTAACCAGAGTTGTCTCAAAAGAAACTATACAGGACTTACCCTAAAGAACCACCCCCTGGCAGATAAGAAAACCACAGTTAGATGAATTAGTTGGTGTGGGAGCAGAAAACATTACTAACAACAGTAAATTTTCATTGGAGATAGTCTTGTCTGTCAGTTATATAATAATGCTACCTTTCTTGTGCTCAATAGCGTATGATGAAATAAGCATCGTAACAGTTTTTAGAATACTACTAGTCCTTGAGAACTCCTTATTTGGTTGAAATGAAAAGTTACATACAATGTCTAATGAAAATTAATTAACATTAACATTACATTATAAAATAATAATAATAATTGCTAATGTTTATTGAGGGTTTACTCCATACCAGGTACAATTCCAAATATTTTTTCATGTCTTAAATCACTTAATTCTTTCAACCACTCTGTGAGATAGGTAACTATTTTTACCACTACCCACCCTCATTCTACAGATGAGGAAACAATCATTCAACAATTGCAGCCAATGTTAGAAGCAGGATTTTAACCCAAGCACTCTGGCATCAGAGCCTCAGCTGTTAACCACTCTGTTATTCTCCAGAGCTGTCATGTTGCATGTGGGTATTAAGCCCTTGAAATGTGGCCAGTCAGAAGTGAGATGTGCTGTCAGTGTAAAACACGTACTGGATTTCAAAAATGTAGTAAGAAAGAAGAAAAGATGTAGATACCTCATTCACACTTTTGTATATTAATTACATGGTGACATAAAAAAACATTTTGGGTATATAAAATTGAATAAAATATATAATTAAATTAATTTTATCTGTTTCTCTTTAATCTTTTTAATGTGGCTACTAGAAATTTTTAAATAACACAGATGGCTCCCATTTTGTATCTGTTAGATAGTGCTGTCCTGGAGATGCAAAGGGGTATTTTATGGTACACCAGTAGAGTTCATCTTGTGGTTGTGAACTCCCTCTCCCAGGTTCCTCGTCCTCATGTATGTGACACTAGTACATGTACATTAGAAGGGAAGTTGAAAAGACACATAAGCGATCAAGTTCTTTGGTTCAGTTCCTAATCCCTACCTTTTCCAAGTAGATGTTGAGTGTGTCAGCTCCAGATTCAACCTTCTTCACAAGTGGGTGCTGGAGAAGCTGAATAAGAAAGGAGAAAAAAAAGGAGACTGAGAGCCAGAGCCTTCCCTGTCCCCTAGAGTAATCTTCCAAAGCTCTGCCATGGTTGCAGAAACAACATATACTGTGGAAAAGGTAAGAAAAAGGAACCAAGACTATAACAGGTTCCATATCATATATCCGGTGCACCTTTGTAGCCCATTTAGATAATAAAATCATGAGTTGTATGTATAAACCATGACGCCCATTTCACCAGGTTTTAATAATAATTAAAAGCTATAATAATAAGCCCCCCCTCAGAGATAGAAAACAGAAGCAACTTACTAACTGATGGGTGCCTTCCACTGGACTGAACCCGGAAAGCATCTTTACTTCCACAATAACCATATTGGAAGAGCTGCGACTCCCCACATAACTGAGGGCAGAAAGAAGCAAACCTATGTGAGTCCATTATCTTCCCTCTCGGCACACTGTGCATCTGCCACACACACACACACACACACACACACACACACACACACACACACTCTCACTCTCTCTCTCTCTCTCTCTCTCTCTCTCTCTCTCTCTCTCTCCAGCTCAGCTTCCATGGTCTAGGTGCCCCCCACCACACCTCCGCTGTCCTCACCTGGTATGGATGTTCAGAGCCAAGGATCGAGGTGAAGTATGTTGCTCACACCGAGCTTTCCCTATTTCCACACTAAGACTAAAGGCCTCCACACTTTTAGGAGGGAGAATATTATATCTCAGCACCACCTAGTTGGAGGAAACACATAACCAGATCAGAGTTGGGAAGGATTTTAAAGCTTGTTCTGTTTGATAGATAACTAATGAGAACTGACTGTACAGCACAGAAAACACTACTCAGTGCTCTGTGATGACCTAAATGGGGTGGAAATCCAAGGAAGAGGGGATAGATGTATACATGTGGCTGATTCACTTTGCTGTACAGCAGAAAGTAACACAACATTGTAAAGCAAATTTACTCCAATAAAAAAGAAATAAAAAATAAAAAGAGGGTACGGTTCGAACGGCTTTCCTTGCAAGTAAGGTAGATGAGAGAAGGTTCTACGAGAGGCAGAGATGCCCTCAGACTCTCCTTCCCAACGCACACTAGTCCTCCTGGAGCCCTGCTTACCTGAACAAAGACACAGCCCCGGCCTGAGGCCTCCAAGGTGTACACCCCGGGGATATCAGGCAGAGCCTCCTGCTGGAACACCAACCGGTTGGCAGCTTGAACGTTGAAAGTGTGCTGGAAATTCTGAGCGGATTTTACAACCAGGTTGACTTCCTCAGACGGCGCATAGACAATAGTGGCATACTTGGCAAGAGCTTGGAGAGCAACTACAGTATCCTGAGGAAAACAATCAGGCAACAGGCACATGCTTACTGTTTTGTGGGCCATTGGAACTAACCTCCAACAACCCTGTAACCTACACACCTGATTGTTGTTCACTAGCTTGGATGATACCTCCTCTAAGTATCTAAGAACCACATTCACCAATGCTGGGGAAGCTGACACAGAAATCATAATATCTTACCTGCATAGAAAATCACCATCAAGTCATTCTTGAACATTCATGGGTCGTTAGGCTAATTTCATATATTTATATTCAGCAATGAAACCTAGCTTCAGAACCGGCTATTGTTAGAAGTAAGTGGATCAAAGGAAATCCAAAAAAGAGTATACATATCTATACGTATAACTGACTCACTTTGCTGTACAGCAGAAACTAATGCAACATTGTAAAGCAACTATACTCCAATTTTTTTTTAATTGGTTAAAAAAAAACTAAAAAAAAAAGAAGTGAGTGGATCACTGTTCAATATATATTTTGCAATTTCCTTATTTGGGGAAGAAACAGCAGTAACTTGATAACCCTAAAAATTGCATGCTCTTCAAAGTTATTTAATTGCATAATGATCTTCTGTGGCACAGGGTATCAGGGGATCCTTGGAAAACCCCTCCCTGAAGGACAAAGCTTCTTAGCCATTATGACATGTGACAATCTTTTCTTCATCTGGGAATAAGACAGATAAACTGTTTCTAAGAGAGCATGGCATCACGTAAAAAGTGTGAGCCTTTTCTTTCTGAAAACATGATTTATATAAAGTACAACTGGAGGAAAGAAAAAAAAGAATGAGATATTCTGCAAAACTGTCATATCTCACTCTGTGTTGTGAGAATTTCTGTATGCTCGAAACTTTGTCAAATATCTACTGCAGAATAAAGGAACCCCACTTCTCCCTATCCCAAACAAAAAAGAACAGTCATATTTAGACATCACACTGTCATATAAAGATAGGAAGACAGGTATCAACCCAGGGGAAGCTGTGAACAAGTCGTATCTGTGCAGCTTGGCCCTCTACAAACAACTTTTTGTCTATGCTCTGTGACCTGGAGCCCAGGAGGGCTTTATTCCTTGGACATGTGGAGACAATTCAAGGAATGGGACCTCACCATCACCTAAAAACCAAAGTGGGTGATATGTGACTTCTTGTAATAGCCAAGGATTTTACTGAAAAGCAACTCTGCCATATATCTGTCACTGAGAATTCTAAACGTTCCATCCTCTGCTTTCTAAAATTATATAATTATTTAGGGCTCAGCAAGAAGAAGGAAATCCTTCCTGATCTTTGGCCAAGAATTTCCCTGAAATAAGGAAACATAGTACCATATAACTTTTAAAAATTCCAATTAAGTCATTACCATATGCAAGGTCTTAACATCATCTCTTAACATCTACACCAGACACTCCATCTATTAAAATCTGTTCATTCTTCCAGGTCTACTTTACATGTTACATCCTCAGTGAAACTGGCCCTAATTTCAACAAGTCATACTATAATCCTTATGAGAACAAAAAATGTGTTTTCTTGTTTACCTCTGTATCATCAGTGACGTGGAAAGAGTAGGGATTTAATACTATTTACAGAACAAATGAATTAATGGCTATTTTCTTTGTGATCATCAAAGATGATTTTTATGACATTATTTGAATTTATCATACAATTCCACCTCCTTTTTTCCCTACCACCACTCCACCAATTCAATTTCTCTTTACCCCTAACCTAGACAAATGTAATAGTCTCCTGATCTCTTCAAATCCAGTGTCTCTCTCCTCTAAATCATCCCATATCCAAGGGACAAATTAATCTTTCTGAAACAAAGTTTAAAAAAATTAATGGCTCCTCAGAATTAGGCAGAAACTGAGTCTGACATGCAAGGCCCTTCATAATATGAAGCTACACTACCTTTTCAACTAAGTCCCTTTATGCTTCAGCTAAACCAGTTTTCCCAACAGCCTTTCTACGGTTTTGCAAATGGGTGTCTCTACTCAGACTATTCCCCCTTCCTTTCAATAGTTGCCTAAAATTTTTACATGTCCCTTTAGGTCTCCCTCAAATGCCATTCCCCTGTGAAGACTTTTCTTATCCCTCAAGCTGATATGAGGTCTCTCTCCCACTTGAAATTCAATATTTTGTACCTTTTTATCTTTGTTCTATAACCAGATCCTGCTATGTAATATATACAACTTTTCCTAGCTTTCTTTCTAGATTGTAAACTTTTTAAAGATTATATCTTACCAGATTTCCAATACCTGAAATAGGAGGTATACCCGTAAAATCTTGCTTTTATGCTTACAGACCCCATAATTGGCTTTCTAATTCGTGACTATGTAAATCTAGCCATAATTATTCATGTCCTCTTTTCAGGTAAAGCATAGATCTCATGATGTTTCATACTCTACAAAGAAAGAGACTTAAATGCATATAGTACTATTTATGTGCTCAAATGACCTAGTTTTATGAACCCTTCTATATATTTTTCACATGATTTTCTCCCTTTCTATAGAATGATTAGTCTCTGGACCTAGAGGCCAAGGGCGATAGTTTTTCCTCTCTCTCCACATGGGATCTAATCCTACCTGATAAGTGGCAGGAGAGCAGGCTATTTACCTGAGTGGAAGAGAACCCTCCATATGCATTTTGCTGCTTGACCAACCAAGCCACTATGCCAGTGGCCTTGTTTATCTCATTTTGAGTCAAGTCGGCTTTGCTAAGCCAGGCCAACAATACATATGCCGTAAGTTCCACATCTACAGCCTCAGGCTCAGACCAACGGCTGTCATCCGATGACGGAGGAGGTTTGTGGCTCCAGTGAAAGGAATTTCCTATGGAGAAAAACACATAATTAGGAAAGTCTTAGAAGGAAATCACTTTCCTATATTCACTTTGTAAATGCTACACCTTAAATCAGAGCAAGTACCAACCAAAAATTAATCGTGAGTTAGAAAAAAATATTTCTCAAATCTTCTGATTTATTGGCCACAATGTATATGCAAGGATGTGTGTGTGTGTGTGTGTGTGTGTGTGTGTGTACACCCACACATAATTCCCCAGGGTAAAGCTGGGAGCATCAATAAATGCCTCCAGCAATGATATCAAAACCTCCCTTGTTAATTTATAAATTCTTATGTTAATGGAGATAGGTAAGTAGAAACTTCTTTTAAGAATTTTATGTGTTTGGGGTCTTTTTTTTTTTTTTTTTGGCTTACAAAATTTTATTAATTTTCAGCATTTATTTTCCTTAATCCAAGGTCTAACATTTTAAGAAGAATAACAATGGCAGAACATGCCTAAGAACTCTGAGAAACCATAGAAGAAATGCTAATGAGGGCGAGCAAATAAAATATGAGACCAAATCCAAACTCTATGACAGCCACAATGGCAGGTAACTTGAAGACAAAGCACAGCAAGTAGAAATGAGAAGAGTGGAAGCTAGAAGTCTAACTAAATATAAGGTTAGAGGTAATAAATACATAGCCCACAGGAGGCCATCTAAGTGGAAGAGCAGAAGAAAACATGTGAGCCTGCAATGCAAGGTAATGGAGCAGAGTTAATCACATTAAACTAATATACACCTGAGCAGATATAACTCCACCCACTGTCTGAGATCCCCATTCCACGACTAGAGTTGCCTATACACAGGCCAAAAAGCTACCCAGAGCCCATAAGAGAGGACAACTCGGCAATGACATTCGTATAAATGAAAGCTGAGATTAAATTTCTGCCTGGAAGTATAATTATAAGTAAACAGCTAGGTAAATAAAATTCATTAATAATGTATTTACTAGGTCTGTTCGAATATTGAATACTTTTTTTTTTTTTTTTTTTTTTGGCCATACCACATCACTTGCGGGATCTTAGTTCTCCGGCTGGAGATTGAACCTCTGCCCTCAGCAATGAAAGCGCCGAGTCCTAACCCCTGGACCGCCAGAGAATTCCCAGAATATCAAATATTATTCTAAATACATCCAAAAGTTTGAAAAGGACCTTGAGGAATCTCCAAGTTCAAGTCGTACCCCATCAAACTCCATGATTTTTTTTTTTTTTTTTTGGGTGT